GCAGGGCACACTGGCTGAGGAATTCTGGGAGTTGAAGTCCACAAGTCATAAAAGAGCCAAGTTTGAAGACCCCTGGTGTAGTGAAATCCAACTAGCCAGCCAGCCATCAATCTGAAGGAATCAATTCACCCATTCATGCAATGGATTTTTGAGTATCACCAAAAATTCAATTCTGAATTGCAGAGTCCATTTTTAAGACATGTGAGGAATATATTATGTTGAAAAAAAGACCAGAAATTTGCAATATAATTAAGCATATTTGGTATTGGTATTCTTTGCAAAAGCTATACTTGATAGGGAATGAAAAATTGTGCAGAAAGAAAACTTTTTTCTACTTCAAATTGTCCATAACAGAACATAAAGTTTTGTAGGTTTGAAAGAAAGAAAAAAAGAAGGTTGTTTTGGTTAAAAATATGGTATTTTCCCCGTTATAGTATTTTTTCTATATTGCTGCAATAGTTCATTCATATGTGAAAGTAAATCTCATTGAATGTGTTAAGATGTACTTTAGAGTGACATCTATAACTGAATAATTTGCCCTATCTGGGAGGTAATTAATAAATAAACAGATCATTCATTTTGGATTATTAAACAAATAGATAATATATGTAAAAAAACAAAGGTTGAAATGAAAAATGTAGGGTAGTTTAGGGGAGGGGAGAACCTCTGTAATAGCCATTTTTGAATACATGAATGTGGATGAAAGGCCAAATATGCTTATCTGAGAATTGAATACAACTTGATAATTAAAAAGTCCTCCCTCTCACATCATGCTACATTTATAAAACTGACAAAAAAAAATCTTCATAAAAATGGGCAATGAGTAGTATAATATACTTATGGCTTCCTATATTGAAACTGAAGCACTATAAACATTTACAATCAGTCCATAAACGACTGATACAAAAAAGTATCTTTGTGGAGCTATTAAGCTGTTACTCAAATAAATCAGGAGGCTTTGGTTTTTTTCTTATTAATCACTGGCACAAACGGGGTTTTGGATATAATTATCTAAAGCAGAAGTATCAAAAAATATGCTCCAGTACTTCAGTTCCTTTTCACTGCGGCATCATCCTAATGTTGATGTTACCATTTACTGAGGAACCCAAATGGGGAAGGAAATCAGTGGCGAAGCTTAACCAAATCTTATGAGAGTCTGATAAAATTAATGCAAAGAGAAAGAGGATTCTATCTGTGTTGCAGCTGGAATTGGGTGGCATTAAAATGAAGCAAAAACTAAGAGATCATTCTTTGTTGGCTGAGATTTCAATTAACCTTAAAAATGGGAAAACAGAAACTTTGAGTCTGGGCATGTTACAGTATTGACTGAGTATTACTTGGGTTGAATGGCTCTGAAGAGGACACGTTTAGACACAGTGCTATGTATGGGCTAATGCAGCAGTAAGTGATGAAATATTGTCTTTGCCACCAAAACAAGTTCAGCTTTTAACTGCAAGCACTTCATTGAAATGTTGTGTGTGAATAATAGCAGCAGGCACTGGATGAAGAAAAATGTGATGTCTAAGAGAGACCCTGATAGAATTTAAAAGTAATCTTTGACTTACAACCATAACCTGAGTCTAAAGTTTATGTTGCTAAGCAAGGCAGTTGTTAAGTGAGTTTTGCCCCATTTATGACCTTTCTTGCCACAGTTCTTAAGTGAATCACTGTAGATGTAAAATTAGTAACATGGTTGGCAAATGAATCTGACTTCCCCCATTGACTTTGCTTGTCAGAAGATTACAAAAAGTGATCTCATGGCCTGGGACCTGCAACCGAGCCAGTTGCTAAACATCTGAATTTTGATCACATGACCACGGGGATGCTGCAACGGTCGTAAGTGTGAAAAATGGACATAACGCTCCTTTTTCAATGCTATTGCAACTTACAATGATCACTAAACAAATAGTTGTAAGTTGAGAACTACTTGTACATCACGTAAGGCAGGGGTCTTCAAACTTGGCAACTTTAAGACTTGTGGACTTCAACTCCCAGAATTCTTCAGCCAGCCAGGGCTGGTTGAGGAATTCTGGGAGTTGAAGTCCATAAGTCTTAAAGTTTGAAGATCCCTGATGTAAGGATTTGGGTTACAAGGGAATGCTGCTGGCAGAAGCAGCCACAACACCTGTAAGAATCCCACAGGGGAGACAAAATGGCACTCTTTCACTACATTTATATAGAATTTATGAAAAAGAAAGAAAAAGATACGAACTCATTTGGTCATGGTGAGCCCTCTCTATATGCCCTGTTCATACACTGGTTACAAGTATGGATAGGAATCAGAGAACTGGTGCCACAGAAAACAATTTACTAGACTCTAGAGCAGGAGTGTCACGTGACATCGCGCAACGTATCGGGCCATTTTGCCATTGCCGGCAATGGGGTGGGCGTGGCTTCAGTATGATGAAACCGGCCTGTGGGACGGCAGTTTGACACCCCTGCTCTAGAGGTATAGAGCAGACACAGATAATATGGGAATCCCGCCTTGTGAAGTTTAATGGATTTCAGGCTTTATGTGGATGTGTTTCTCTCCTCAGGTACAGGCACCCCAAAAAGAGCCGTGAAGGGAAGCAACCAGTGACCAGATGAAAGGTCAAGCTAGCAGCTCCATGCAGCAACCAAGAGGAGCATAGTTGTGGGTTGAATCAAATTAAAGAACAGCAGAGAAGCCATATGACTCTATTAAGGCCACCACAGAATGCAAAAATCACTTTTGACGTGAACCAGGGAAGCCTGCTTACAGGCTGCCTCAGTGCTGGGACAGACATTTGCTGAGGTTGACAATAGTACATTCAAGTCCTCTTAAGAGTAGCCACTTGTGCAAAAGAGACTGTGCCCGCAAAGAACCCATGGGGAGAAATGTATATTTCTAGAGTTGCCTACGATTGCAAGTATGGGAACACAACAGCACAGTGCATCCCCTTAGGTTCGCTTGTGCCTTCACAGATAGTAATAAATTCAGAAACCAAAATGGCAAACTTTATCGTTTCTAAGAAGTCTAAATCCATCCAAGCTGGTTTTTTTCTTTCCACAATACATCCCTCTTTTCTACATTAAATGTCAATTTGTTCTGTATTCAACCCCCAAACTTCCTCGTTCCCCCCCCCCAAAAAAAAACCCTCCACAGGTCTCTGGAATTGCCTGCATGAGAGTTGCACAGCAACAGAAGTAATGTTTCCCAGACATTCTATAAAGTTATTGAAAAGCATGGGGAGTAGCCTGAGTACCATAGCATTCCACAAGTCACAAGGTGGAAAATCAGTCCTCCTAATTCCATCTTCTTCCAGAAAAGATCAGAGCCATCGTAGCAGGGTGCCTCAATCCATGTAGGATGAATGCCAGGTGAATGCTTCAAAATGGTACAATGATGTTAGACAGGTCATCCTCAACTTACAACTATAATTGAGACCAACATTTCCATTGCTAAACAAGAGAATTATTAAGTGAGTTGTGTCCCATTATATGAAATTTTTGCCACAGTTAAGTGAACCACTGCAGCCATTATGTGAAGCTGGCTTTCCCCCCCCCCCATTGACTTTGCTTGTCAGAAGCCAGCTGGAAAGGTTACAAATGGTGATCACATGACCCAGGGACAATGCAACAGTCACAAATATATGCCAGTTATCAAGCACTTGAATTTTGATCAAGACCATGGAGATGCTACAATTGGTCATAAGTGTGAAAGCCAATCGTAAGTCACCATTTAAGGTGTTGTAACCTTGAATAGTCACTAAATGAATGGTTGTGTGTCACAGACTAACTGTAGTGAAACATCTAGGAAAACTATTGTTGCCCTTCTTCATCTAACTCATGAAGGCTGGTCACAAAATCCTGAGCTTCCTTTGACTTCTCTCAAGAGTATTTCCATGAACTTGTGGGAGAGACTATTAGATGGTGGGGTGAGTCTGACAGTAACATAATTGCTATTGGAGTTCCCAACATATTTTCAGGTATTTGACAATCTCAATCAACAAGGGAAACAGAATCTTTTCTAGATCATAGGCATTCCTTTTCCTTGGTGTTTGAGCTGTTCTCAGTATTTCATTTGAAAAATACATCCTTTCTACTGGCTAACCTAGCTTTCAATACCAGTATTAAACCTCAGAGAATTGCAGACAAATCATCACATTAAACTTCAGTCATGGCTCATATATAATGATAAACCATAATATGTTTCATTTGGTTTGGCTCTGGCTGTATATGTCAGGTGCACATTATGGTTAGCATTATATGGGAATTCAGAGGGTTAAAGAAACTTGGCTTAGATTACGAGCAATAAACCAATCTAGGATCAGGTTTCATACACTCTCTGCTATGTTAAAAATGTAGTCTGTTTCCTTTTAATGGAGCAATGCTTTCTGAATATAATCCTGCTCTGCTTATACTACTCGGTAGGATAAAACTCAAAGCAGAAAAGCACAGCTGGAACTAGACTTTATAAAATGAGAAGATACAAAAAGAAATATGGTTGCAAACTTTGCTAATATTGTTAAGTGTAATTACATTTGCTATCCTGTAAACACACATCTGCTGCCTAGGGGAAAATTTACAAGACCCCAGTTCCACTTCAGAGCAAATTAATACAGATCATGTGCAATGGCTGAAAGTTATTTTTATTATAGCAAACATGTAGTACTTTGGCAAGGTTTGTCCTGCGTGCAGTAGATATTATTTCAAAGCTTCTTTATAAGCCAGTTGTATCTAATGCAGAAATCAGAAGATGATGTGTTCTAGTCCTGCCTTAGGCATGAAAACCAGCTGGGTGAATTTGGGCCAGTCACTCTCAGTCCAACTCACCTCCTGGGTTGTTGTTGTGGGGAAAATAGGAGGAAGAGGAAGTATTAAATATGTTGCCAACTTGAGTTATTTATAAAAATAACACAGATGGAAATACAAACAAACTAACAAACCACATTGACTTGGTGATGCTCTTTTCATAAAATCTAATTCTGCAAAGAGAATTCAGGTTTCTTTCAAGGAATGAGGCTGTCACTGTGAAACACTGTACATATTTATTTTATCGTTTATTTAAATATCTATATTTTTGCATTTACAAACTTTAATAAGCACTCATCTCCCTGCTTCTTATTAAAAGCAGAGATTGCTTCTGTAATCTCTGAGGATCATGTACAAAACTAGATGACATTTACATATATATATTTATATAATCTTTTAAGATTAACAAAGTGTGACAAAAAACTAAAGCATAATCTATGTCTAGTGGCTCTTTCACAAGTATTGGAAAATCAGTGCTCAGCTAGGGATCCTAGAAGGCCAAGTTTATTTTTAATTGGTACAAAGTATAACTGAAGGAAATGTATCTCTGTGGGAATATAGTAACAAAATGTACAGATGATCGACCGAGGTGATATTTCTTCATTATTCTAGATTCTTCTAAACCAAAATGGCACCAAACCCAAGAAAAATATTTTAGAAGATTAGCCTGACTACCAGCCATTGAGAACCATCCTGATATAATCTGTCATAACAAAAAATATTCCTTTCAAGATTTATTCATTAATTAATGTTCGAATAACGTTTCCAGCACCACGATCGATGGATCAGCTCAGTAAGATTTTTTTGAAAACCTTTTTTTAATAGGGAGATCGATCAATGTTGGCTGGAATAAAAGAAGGCTTTATTGCCACAGTGCTTCAATCTAGTTCAAATACTGTATTTTACAAACAAACAAAAACAGGGAATTGGGCCTGGAGAACTAAACTGCACTAGGAACAGCATTTGGAGCAACTTGTATCAGTGGACACTTGACACTGTTTTGCAAATGGAGTAAGATGACACCAGATTCAAAAATGTGCACTCCCTCTAGGATACATTTCTAAAGTAACTAGTGTGATTGCATAATTCATATTGCACAATTGTATAAAACATAAATACTAGCTATCTGAGGTTTTAAATACAAAATACAGATCATGTATTATTTTAGACATAAATCCTTTTTTCAAGTGCAAATTAGATGTGCCTTTCTTCCTATAAAAACACATTTTGAAGGTACAAATGTAATCCTCTTCTCATAATATGCCACTATTTATAAACCCAATACTTTCTCAGAGCAGTTCTATACATACAGTATAAAAAATAGGTTTATTTACATGAACTGGGAATACACCGAAGCAGCTTTAAGAACTGGATCTCAACTCTGGTATGAAGGAAGGAAATACAATGGGGAGACGAAACACCTATCCAATTTAGGCTGGTTGCTGTGGGTTCACATTGATAGGATGTCCTAGGAGACCAATACGTTGTTTTTGCTTCCTCTGCTCTGTCATCTGGAAAATTGAAACATTTACTCAGTAGACACAAGTACTTCCTGTACGTCAGACCACAGAATAAGCTACTGCTATTTATTGTGGTCATCTTTATTTCCCAAAGTTGATTGCAACAAGTAATGCACTCTTGCCCGCTACAGTTAGTGAAAACAAACTAACCCATTTCTTTACAAAGTTTGGAAAGAATCGGAGGGAACTGAAGCAATCCAACACTAATCCTGTCAGAACTGCTCTGTTAGGAAGAAACAAGCTAAAGTACATCTTGTAGGACAGTAGAGCTTGTTGTGATTTAACTCTGAATAGAGTCTCTTTTTATATCTGTAAATACAATATGCATATATTGTATAAATAACCTTGCTGCCCATAGTCTATATTCTTCATATTAAAGAAACTGGGTCTCCCCTTTTTCTGCTGTATCGAAGAAAACTTCTCAAAGCTATTATATTCCTACTTTTCATAATAGCAAGAATAAAGTTTAAAACCTAGGCAAACTGAAGATTATTAGTAGGGCAATATTGGAAGAAGGACTGCTTGCCCACTATAGAAGAATGGACGCTTAAAGTTTCAAATTTAGCAGAAATGGCCAAGATTTCTGCTTATTTGAAGGATCATTCACAAGAAAGATACACTTCGGTTTGGAGAAGATGGATAGATTATATTCAGAATAAATATGGGACTAAAAAGTTCCATTTGCCTTATGAGTGAATATTAGATTTATTATTATTAATAGTTTATTATAGTGGAGTTTTTCTTAGGTTTAATTATATGATATTATTACTTTTAGTATTAGTATTGTATTGTTTAGTAATTAGGTTGTTAATTTGTTTATTATAGTGTTTAATTTTAACTTGTTTAAATTTTTGTTAAAAGGGAGTTAAAGCGCTTTATGGACTTGGTTATTTAAATAGTTGGTTAATGTTAGTTAGATTATGATTATTATATGTGTAACCCTGTGTTCAGCTCTGGGAAGTGGGGGAGAGGGAGGGGGGTTTTGGGGTGGGTATGGGGATTCATATTGTAATTTTTATAAAACTTTTAATAAAAAAAAAGATGCAAACTTCAATCATGGTTTTTTTACAAGACTAGTGAAGCTGAATCAAACTGATAACTTAAGTCACGTGTTCTTGCCATCAAAGTGACAGTCACCTAGTACATTTTGTGACATTTTTATGCACTTTATAGTTTTATATGATCTTGCAAGGAAGGAAGGAACATGGCCTATAACATCTGGAACTTCATGGGCAACCTTGGGGTACTTCTCAGTATTCCCAAGTTATTATTGTTTTTAAAGCCATACAAATAGAGCCTTGGCCCTCTGCTCAGTCAAACACCACCACATTTAACGGATTGATTTGGGAGATACTGAAACAAGATGCAGTACTAAAAATACCTTATAATAGCAAAGCTAAAAACAATCACCTGGACAAGAGTAATTATGGTCCTCAAGCTCTTGAAATATGATATACATATCTCAGAACTGAAAAAAAAATGGAGAAGGAAGAATATGACTGGAACTTTTGGGAAAAGTAGTATTTGGATTTGGAAAAAACAGATTACAGACAGAAGTTTCAAACTGCCTTTTATATCCCATTCAATTTGTCTTTTATTGAAGGGGTGGGCAGTGGGTTAGTATTTGGTTGGAGTTACACAGAATAAGCCCTGCCAAAACTAAGACTGTTTTTACAGTATATGCAATATTATGACAATAAATGGACACAAGCCCTGGATTTTGGCTCATCCTTCTCCCTATTCTTCTTCCTACTCTCAGTATGGAAAGCTCGGTAGTGTCTGATGAGCAGGAGGTTGGACTAGATGACCTCCGAGGTACCTTCCAACTTTATCATTATTATTATTGTATACCAGGTTGTGGCATCCCAGCACATGTCATTTTACCTCATCTAAAATACTGTGATTTGTTTTTCCGGACAAAAAGAAGAGATAAAACAGGATTGCAACAAACTAGGATTGAAAGTTGCTTATCTCCGTAAGAAAGTAGAGAAAAGTTTGTGGGTATCCATAGTCACAACTCATTAATTTGTCAATGAAATCAAAGAAGTGGCCAACAGTCTCTGAGAGTCCATCAAGGGGAACTTAAATCTTCAGTTTTACAAAAGCAGGCGGGAGCACAAAGTATTATACAGGAGAATACAGGGACCAAAAATCTTGATTGAACTTAAGCTTTTGTGATTCTTCTCTATACAACATCCTCTCGGTAGCATTCCATTGGAGATGTTATGGCTTATTAAGTACTGAGGTTTCCTTATATTCTTTTGCTTGGTTTTTTTAAGGGAGAATGAGGACAGAGGAAGTTTGATTTGTTTTACTAGAGCTTACTGTCTTTGAAATTTATTACTTGTCATGGCCAAGAACAAAAACGTACATTTTAATTTGTTTAGTTTAAATGGTGATGGCAAAGAGAAAATTATTAAATCAGATGTCAAAATGCCAATTTATTAACAGTACTGTTGTTGATGTCTATATAGATCACATATACACTGCCGATTTTCCTGCTTCCCATATAATCAGGTTACACCTTTCTCAACCAGCCTCATGGGCCTTATTTTGGTAAACATTTTTTTCTATGTTTTGTACCTGATCTTTAAGTTCCGTCAACTGACTGGAAAGGTTAGATACCAGCTTCATCGTTGATTCAAGCTTCTCTTGCAGGTTTCTAAGTTCATTTTGTTCTCCTTCTGAGTCACTACTAACAAGTGACATGGCACGCATCCGGGGGAACCAATCCAGATTTCTTTCCTGAAATATAATTTATTAAGATCATCTGAATTTTAATTATAAGCAAAAGGATATACTGTACTGTATTCTTTATCTACTGTAAAGAAGAGAGGAAAAAACCGAATAGCCTGAAACCCTAAAACATTTGCCTTGGAATTGGGTATGTCTAGTTTAACGAAGAGAAGGATGAGGGGGGACATGATAGCAGTGTTCCAATATCTCAGGGGCTGCCACAAAGAAGAGGGTGTCAAGCTATTTTCCAAAGCACCTGAAGGCAGGACAAGAAGCAACGGATGGAAACTAACAAAAGAGAGAAGCAACCTAGAACTAAGGAGAAACTTCCTGACAGTTAGAACAATTAACCAGTGGAACAACCTTCTTCCAGAAGCGGCGAATGCTCCAACACTGGAAGTTTTTAAGAAGAGACTGGACAGCCATTTGTCCAAAATAGTATAGGGTTCCCTGCCTGAGCAGGGGGTTGGACTAGATGACCTCCAAGATCCCTTCCAACTTTTTATTATTATTATTATTATTATTATTATTATTATTATTATTATTATTATTATTATTATTATTATTATTATTATTATTATTATTCTTGGAAAATTTGCCTGGGCAAAAGTCTGATGTTCAGAAGTCACAAAACAAACCATTATTAGAATAATTGCATCTCATAGTTTTGAAGGAATTTAATCCTTTAGTTGTAGTGAGAAAATATTTGGACTTTGATTGCCTGGAAACATGGGCTCTTCCCTCCATTAATTCTTTCCTACGGACAATTTTTCTTCAATTTCCAGGAAGCAATCCGGAATTGCTTGAATTGAGAAAACATTAAGAGGAGCAAAGATGTAGAACATTGAAGCTTCATTGGAGAGAACTGCAAGCTGGGTAATCCATTCAGTTTTTTTCTCCCAAAGGAAAGGATAAGTCTAGTTTACTGATCCTGATCATTCTGAGAATACAACATATTTTCAAAGTATTTAATGTAAAATAATGAAATACATTCACAAGAGAGAAAGTGGGTTTGTTTACCTGGCTTTGGGGCTTCTACCACAGGTGAAAGAAGGACACTTTGTGAGCTACTACTTGGCCACTCTGTTCATCAAGGAATAAATAGTTGGAAGAACTCCTGTTTATTTTAATGGCTAGGCTTTCCTACTCTTACAGAAAACAACCACCTAGAAAGGCAGATGTTATTTTATCCAGGCCCATTTGGTGCATCTGAGAGCCCTGGATAGTTTTGTTATTTTTACATGATGAATATGGAGCGCTTAAGATTATGGAAAGAAAATTTGCTTGACTAGTTGGCCAAATATGGACTCAACACAGAATCCAATGTATAACCTGTTAACCTCCAGTCACAGATAAGAGTTTTAACTTCATATTTAGTCTTCATTAGCAAACTACTGGCTTGGAAACTTGTCCATAAGTAACGCTGCCAATTGCATGGATACACTGATATATATTTACATCAGTCTTAATATTACAATACATTATTACAATTATTAAAATCTACTGTAATATTGTAATACAGTACTATTGATTTATTCTCCCACGTTGGGGACATTAAAATTCAGAGAACAGTTTGAGGAGGAAGTAAGAAAACTGGGCTGTGTAGAGAGATAATATCTGAAACTAGAACACAGCATATTTTATATATTGTCATGGTCCATGGCTTGTAAATACCAATTCAAACTCTTCGAACGGTAGCTAAGTTGTAAAGCAAGAGCTACCTGTATATTTTATAAATAACGTAATAACATATTTGCATATTATTTAAGAATTCAGCCATGTTGGCACATTTATTACTCTACTTTTGCTGCTACTATTTATTTAATCACTATGCCTTATATCCAAATACATCAGTAACAAAAGAGGCAAACACAGTCATCTTCTTAAAGAGTGTCTAGGGTGGCCAATCAACCACCATAAAAGATGTCAAGGGAGATAGAATGAATGTTGCCACTGATAACTGATTCCTTCAGTTTCACCTTGATTGCTTCCATTCTATAATGTTCACCTTTCTATACATATGCTGTACATATGTTGTACATAGTATGTTTAGGTGTGTGTCATGTATGTGTTTCACTTTGAGAGCGGGCAACTAAATTACAGGTACTGTAGTTCTCAACTTCCAACAATTCATTTAGTAACTGTTCAAAGTTACAACGGCACTAAAAAAAGTGACTTATGACCGTTTTCCACACTTATGACCATTGCAGCCTCCCCATGGTCACATGATAAAAATTCAGATGCTTGGCAACTGACTCTTATTTGTGACTGTTGCAATATCCCAGGGCCATGTGATCATCTTATGCGAACTTCTGACAAGCAAAGTCAATGAGGAAGCCAGATTCACTTGCCAATCGTGTTACTAACCTAACAACTGCAGTGATTCACTTAACAACTGTGGCAAGAAAGGTCATAAAATGAGGCGAAACTCACTTAACAAATGTCTCACTTGACAACAGAAATGTTGGGCTCAATCGTGGCCATAAGTCGGGGACTACCTGTAGTTTGATTTTCAAATGAACGTTTAAAAACAGTTATGCTCATAGCTAATAACATGCTATAAAATGCTTACTTGTGTAATGTGGAAACAGAAAGCTGTACTGTGGAAACAGAAAGCATTTGCTGCCAATACACTCATAAATAAAAATCATTATTCTAGATAAATTATTGTGGTCCCTGGATAGGCCCTCAATGTTTATCTGGTTAGTAGAAGTAAAACTGTGAAAATGAGGTCAGGTACAAAACCCTTTCCTGGGAAAGTAATTTGGTTTGCCTTTTAATTCACCATATTAATCAGTTATATAGCTATTCTCAGCAAACATAACACATCAGCTTAATATCAATTATTTAAGAACGTTACTTCTTGAGCCACAACATTGTCTTATCTCTGTAAGGACATTGACTCATTTTGCTACCTCCTACTCAAAACTATATTCATTTAAAGATTTTAATGTAAAGGACAAATCAATGATGGCGAACCTTTTAGAGACCGAGTGCCCAAACCACAACCCAAAACCCACTTATTTATTGCCAGGTACCAGGTGGGTGTGGCCCACTGGGTGGGCGTGGCTGTGGTGGTCATGGCAGACTGGGTGGGTGTTGTCAAGGTGGGCGTGGTCACCTCGATGTTGCTCGTGGGGAGGGACGCCTGTGGGGGCCAGGCAGGGTTGGGGGAGATCCAGGAGGTCTCTGGCAGGTGGGGTGGTGGGTAGGAGGCTCATCCTGCGAGGTGAGGCAAGGCAGGGTAGGGGTGCCATTACCTCAGGGCAAGGCAAGGCAGGGGCCGGGGCAGCTGCTGCCTGACACCATCGGCCCCCGCACACAGAGGCCAGCGAGTGTATGGGGGCCGACAGTGTCCGTCAGCAGCCACAGCCTGCCGGCCCCTCGACCGGCTCCGCAGCCCGCCACCAGCAGTTCTGAGAAGTGCCCACAGAGAGGGCTCTGAGTGCCGCCTCTGGTTCGCCACCACTTGCGTATGCCAACGATCCAAGAATTCTTTTACTCACAAAAGGTGGGCGTCAGAGCAAGTTGACAGACCTTAGCAGAATTTTCTAAGGGGAAAGGGCTCATCAATCCTGCCAAGGCCACCTGTCTTTTTTTTTAAAAAAACTACTGTATTCTATATAAATGACATATTTCATTATACTTGTCTATATAATGCGCACATCTGTAGGCAATCTGGTGATGCAAATGCAGGCAAGTTTTCAACCATTAAATAAATGGAGCCATCTTTCCAATCCTGCAAGAATTGTATAAACGTATTAGAAATATATATAAATTTGAACGTATATGGATTTGAACATTTGTATTAGATGTCTATATATAGAAGTGTAATATGTTATGTTACAACATTTATGATATTGTATGTTGTTATATATGTTATATGTTATGACATGTTTTTTCTTTTGTCGTAGTTTTTCACTTTTTTGTTAAAGCACTTTTATGTATTTTTTTCTCCTCTTTGACAATATGTATATTAAAATCAATTATCCTTGTGTATTTTGCTCCTTTTTTGTTATTAATTAAAAAGCAATACAATATAAATTAATAAAGACCAAAATGACCATTTTTCCCCCTTGGGATGAGCAAATTGCCACAAAAACCAGTGACAAATTGGAAAGAATAAAACTGAGCAAGTCCCAGGCTTACATACATTGGTATAATTTTTCAAGCCACCACCCTTTATCCAGAATTAATTAGAGCCATTTCTGCCAAAGCTAACAATAGTACCAAGGCAATATTTTCACTCCAAAAATGTAGTCCTGTTATCATTAAGCTTTCTAGAGGTAACACATATCCCATGTGTTATATGGTACAGAGGTATGCATCTACCATGATTTAAAGTCCTTTAAAGCCCTTCCACGTGCCTTACTGAGCTTCAATTGTTTTAATCTGCACAGAGGCTGATATGATTTCACCAAAAGTGAAAGTTCACATTCCAACTCTTATTGGCTTAAATGCTTGTTTTCTAATGGCCCCATTAATTTTTCTTGATGGCTTTTCATCAAGCTGCAAAGAAAAAAACTTAGCTGACCTATGGCATTTATACTTACTCTCTGCTGCTTCGACATTTAGAGAGAGCTAAAACTGAAATCTGTCAAGCAGTCTTTAACATTGCATGGCAGATGCAAAACCAGCTTTCAGTGGTGGGTTCCAGACGAGACTTTTAAAATCACCAAACTATTTGTTTTTTCAGTAGAACCTTTTCTTTAGCCCACTTCAACATCTTATTGTCAGCACTATTAAATGGAAGGTGGAGTAAGACTCTATTCTCTGAGAGATGCTATCCTTAGTCCAAACAAACTTGAGATCCTTTCACGTGTGTTCTTCTGTTGCTCTTTCTATGCCAGTTAAACACAGATATGACTGCACCACCCCTTAATAAAATCCCAATCTTTTGTGAAGGAGAAGTGATCCATTTCTGAGTCGTAGATCAGAACTTTCCTTCACTAACGGAATTTCTATCTGCAGCAATTTCCATTAGAAGGTATAAGAGTGTCCTGATCTTG